ATTCCAAAAGTTAGACGGTCTATCCTTTATTATTGATGCAATTTTCGGTTTCATACGTACTAGATACATGTGAAATCATTAAACTATATCAAAAGAAAATATCCTAAAAAATAATGTTCACTGATACAAATATATTTATGCAATATCAATATCTTAGAGAGAATCAGAATGCTGATATTCCATTTCCAAGTCATTCCTTTTTTCAGTACGGAATTATACTTACAGCATTATTTCACATGACTATAGTTGAAAATGCAGTTTTTTAAATGAAGAATTTAAGGGGGAAAAAAGAAGTCTAGATACTTTTCTAATCACTTTTCAAGCATTTAAATTAAAAAAAAAAACAATTGGTACATTAATATGGACGGTGCTCGATAAAACCCAAGTTGCTAAGGTACTGAACACAAGACAGATTAATAGGCTTGCAAGGATTATGTTAATTTTATTAACAGTTAAATTTTAAGTTCCTTTCCAGTCAAATTCTTAACTTCAACTTACTACTTCCGGCCAGAACGTAGTTTTGGGATTTTTCCGAATACTTAATGAGGAGGAGAGGTATTTAAACCGCGAAGTTACTTACAGAGTGAGAGAGAATCAGAGTTTCTGATTTACGCGCGTTTGCCTTTTGGCCACTCTCTCTCAAAGCTGTTATTACGCTCGGCCGTACTCAGGCCCTTGTTAAGCTTCGTAGTCAAATAAAGTTAAGGGGCCAACTCGAGTACAATTTTGATAACTTCGGCTATATTTCTTTAGTTAATTTTAGTTTTAGTTTAATTTTTAGTCTCTTAAGTTCAAGCCGAAGTGTCGGCTTTGATTGTACACTCCAAGACGGAGTTTTGTTAAATCTTACTGGAATAACAAAGGGTTAGTTACCCTTCCATCTTGTTGTTTCTTGTCACACGAACTTAAGCGATTATTCGCTAACTAGTTCTTAAGATTCGTCACTTTCTACAGTAACTGAGAATTACTCCAGTGAAAATCTTACAAGCTAATACATTTAAGATTTCATTAAGTAAAAATTGTTTCATGTGCATTCTACAAGGAAAGAAACATCGGTTTTTTTTTTTTTTTTCTCATCTATAACTTTTTTTTTAAATATTCAAATAATTCACATTCGAATATTTCAGTCCAATACAATAAGCAACCTGAAAATGCAATTTTAATCGATTTTAATTTTCATTTTCCTTCTGATACACCCCTTTTTGGAATTTAATAGAAGAGGATTAACATTTTTGGGACTCATTTTCCTTTGCAGTACGTTTACGTTATACAGGGTGTATCAGTACAGCGTTGAAAAACTTTCAGGAGATACAGAGTACACCTAACGGATGGGAAATCACATAGTACAATAGATCGGAAACGCTTTCTTGGCGCGTTAGCGACGACACAAAAGGTGAGACAAAAGATGTTTTTATCGTGTTTAGCACAGCAGAAAGCTATCAAGAACAAAAACGAATAACGATCGTCATTAAAGAAGGTGTTCGAAATTACTGTCCCGGACCGTGATGCAGGCCTGATTTCTCTGGCGCATGGAAGATCGCTTGGATGATGCATGACGCGCGATTAATGCATCACAGTTCGAGACGTCATTTCGAACGCCTTCTTTGATGACGATTGCTGTCTCTTTAAGTTGTTTTTTTCTTTGTTTTTGTTGTTCTCCGAATAATAAACATGTTTTCTCACCCCGTTCGTGTCCTTTTTTTCGTGACTTTTATGTCGTCACTACCGCGCCAGGAAAGAGTTTCCGACGACGCATTCCTATGTGATTTCCCATTGTCTAGATATACTATAGAGTATTTCACTTTGTAATTCTAAGTTAATGTTGGAAGTGAAGAATCTTAAGAACTGATAAGCAAATAATCGCTCAAGTTCGGGTGACAAGAAACAACAAGATAGAAGGGTAACTAACCCTTTATTATTCCAATAAGATTTAACAAAACTCCGCCTGGGAGTGTACAAACAAAGCCCGCACTTGGGCTTGAACTTAAAAGACTAAGAATTCAACTAAAACTAAGATTAACTGAAGAAATATAGCCGAAGCTATCAAGGTTCAAATCGAGTTGGCCCCTTAACTTATTTGGGTACAAAGCTTAGCAAGGGCCTGAGTACGGCCGAGCGTAATAACAGCTTTGAGAGAGAGAGAGAGAGAGTTGCCAAAAAGGCAGACGCGCGTAAAAAACTCTGATTCTCTCTGACTCAGTGAGTAACTTCTGGTTTAAATACTGCTCCTCCTCATTAAATATTCATCAAGATTCCAAAACTATGTTCTGGTCGGAAGTAGTAAGTTGAAGTTAAGAATTTGACAGGAAAGGAATTTTAACTTAAAATCTAACTGTTAATAAAATTAACATAATCCTTACAATACTCTATCTCTCTTGAAAGTTTGTCACCGCTGTACTGATACACCCTGTACATATACATGACTCGTACGTTATACGTTACGTTTTACATATACACTTGCAATTTTTAACATCTCTATAAAAAATCAATATAGAAATCCATGAAGTGAATCTTAGCGATGTTAAGATTATTATTATAAGCATTGTCTAATCACAGTGCTGAAAATAATCCGATTGTTTAAGAGAAGATTAATTTTTTTTTTGTTTTTTTTTTTTTTTGTTTTTTGTTTTTTTTTTTTTTTTTTGTTTTTATTTTTGTTTTTTGTTTTTTTTTGTTTTTTTTTTTTTTTTTTTTTGTTTGTTTTTTGTGAATAGTAATCGAAGCTTAATATTATCACGTGGATGAAACAATTATTCAGTTGTAAAGACATTAGGTATTTTTTGAAAGCAGGCAAGTTGAAAAATGAGCAAACGCCTTCGCCGGGAATCGAACCACGGACTTCTGGCATACCGGCCCAGCGTGCAGAGCCACTACACCACAAAGGCACACTAGGAAATCGGGAGAAATACCTTATATACTCCCCCTTTTAAAGGGCGACTGGAGTTTTTAGGGGACCCAATCGCCAAATCCTGGGTGGAGAGAAATCATCATCCACCATTCTTTTAGTTCGGGCGCCACTGTAGGGACATTAGGTATTTTTTGAAAGCAGGCAAGATGAAAAAGGTACGGTTTTTCAGTCCGAGTTTTTACGAGTACAAAACCATCAAAACAAATTATGAGATTTAATCTTCGAATTATTTCAATTCTATTCAGAACAATGGAACCACTATTCTTAACTGTAATTCATTAATGTAAATCTTATTTTGGTTTTAAATGGTTTTCATTAAGTACATTAATGGTATAAATATTTGTAAAAACTATTAGTAAAAATAGTTGTCATAAATGCTTCCTTATTGATGTTTGTGTACATTTTATTAATAAGTTTATTCTTTAATTAGTTCAGTTTTTGTACTGATAAGCAATAAACTATTATAATATTAAAGAAATAAAATTCATTATTTGCTGATATTTGGGAAAACGTCATTTATCATATTAAAGAATCTGAATGGAATTTGAACCCAGGGTGTTATCATTTGTTGACGAGAACAGATGACGATAGTCGATGAAAAGCTGATAGTCAGTCTGCTCTAATCTTTATTTGAAGAAAAATATTTAATTACCTATTTAAATATGTAGAGTCGTTAGCTTTTTATGAAGCAGGAGACGAGAAAAATGTGCAATGCCCTCGCCGGACTCGAACCTGGGCCTCTCGAATACGCGCCGAGTGTGCAACCGTTACACCCTGAGGAAATGCTTGAAGGAGGGAGAAAATACCTTACAAATATATTCCAAGCACTACTACATATACAGCAAATAGTTTCTCGTGATTGCAGACACATATATGTTATTCTCGTTGTAATCTGCAATATGTATATTTATATTTATAGTTAATAAATGTTTTAAAATAAGCTTCAAACAGTAGTCAAAACTATATTTTAAAATGATCTAGAAATGCGTTTATAGTCTTTTTTATATTGAACGAAAGATATTTCTTACTCAGACTCGCTGTATTCAAATCGATAAGACCAAAGAATGGAATGATCAAATTGGTAATTCATTCCCAGTGTGAATTACCAATTCAATTCTCCAAATCAGGTGAACAGGCTGGCTGTTCAAGCTACTGTGAGTAATGAAAATTTTAACAAAGATTTCATACTTACATTAGATCAGAGAGTCATATCATCATATGAATATCAGAGTCTAATTAAATGTTTCAGTTCTTAGAAAAAAAATACAAATAACTGTAAATAAATAAGAGAATATTCTTAAAAAATTAAGAAAAATAAAATTTAATTTGCAAAAATCTAAGCATTATCAAATATTGCAGATAATACTAAATACATTTTTGTCGCATATTATTTTTTTCTTGTACATCACTTGATCTTCTAGGAGGATCTAGGCCGAGCGATGATTTTTCACAACCGTTTTTACATAAGATTCAGGATTAAATTTTCGTAAAGTTTTTCCATTTAAGGGTATTGTAGCTAAATCTAAAATTGATTGTACAGTCAAAAAGGCTCTTCTCTTTACAAAAATATTGTTCATCGCGTTTAGAGGTCGTTCAGTTTAAGGTATGGAAAGTTCAGTCAGTAACATGTGTTTCTATTCGAATAGATAAACTAAAAAACAAAACGAACGAGGGCCTGAAAATTAGAGGCAAATTTAACAAAGGGATCGGACCAGCGCCCCTACAGCTTAACACTGAGTTCGTAGCTTTACTTAAGTGCAATGTCGATATGAGCCTTTTTTCCCTAAAAAATTCTCCACGAAAGCTAGCCCTCATACGCTTTGCCATATACAATTAAAGAAAGGCACAAACCTTCCTTATTTTTAGAATAATTAAGGGAATATGAATGAACAAATAAATTCAATAAAATCATTATATAATTATAATATAATTTGCAATTATAAGTAGATATATGTTATTAATATTCTAGAAGAAGTGCATACTAACATTATTATACTGTTTAATAACACATAAAATAAAAAGAGCTCCTCAGATCTTTTTCCACCGTATATAATTTGTCTCCATTGTAATATAGTAAATAGCACATGAGAGCTTTTTTTTTTTTTTTTTTTTTTTTTTTTCTTAAGCACCTATAGTGCTAGGATTTCTGCGAAATTAAGAAAAGAAATATCAGGTAAGAAGTTTTTCATTTCTGGCCTCATATATTGGTATTTAACAAGACCTAAAAACAAGTTTCGTTTAAAAAATATCTCCCCTTTATGACGTCTAGCACACCTGTTTACTTCCTCCTTCATAATTAACGTCATTCTCCCCTTCTTGGCAGCAACTGAGAAGACACTGAAGAAGCAACAACTATTATTACTTATTATACAACTTATTACAATCCTCGCAGTCCTTTTAATGATAAATAATAAATAAAAACTTGTCAAGTGTTTAAATAAATTAATTCTCCTATTAAAAATTATTATTAAATTATTTTCTTCACAACCGAATGTATAAATAACCTCAATTTCAATCCCTCAAAGCGGGAACCGATCCTTTTCAAACGCACTGATCCAAACTACAGCAATAAACAAATAAATAGAAAAACTAGTTAGATGACAACTTACCAGAAATAGTCCTTTTAGTACATTTCAAACTGGTTAATGTTTTGAGCTCTTTTTCATTCTATTACAGTAAGTTTATATCTTGAACCTGAAACAAATTAAAAAGCAGAACACGTTAATTAAAGGTAATTTAATCAATAAAAACTAATTAAATTTGAATTATTAAAAAAATTTAGAATATTAAGCGTACAAAAGAAAGGTAAAGAGTTATGAGGCGATGTCAGGCTGTGTTATTCAGTAATGCCCGTATGCATTGCTGTTGTCATGGTAAAATTCATCTTCCCAAATCACCTCCACCAGAATAATCAAGCATTTCTTTCGAACTTTTGCAAGAATAAATTTCTGGAAGCATAATGATGTTTTGCACAATATTAAAGAAACATAACTATAATAATTGTTGGTTTTTTGAAGTATTGTTGTAGAGTCATTAGGATTTTATGGAAGCAGGAGAGAAGAAAAATGTGCAGTACCCTCCCCGGGACTCGAACCTGGACCTCTCGAATACGCGCCGAGTGTTCTAACCGTTACACCACGAAGGCATGTTGGAAGAAGGGAGAAAATACCTTATATACTCCCCCTTTCAAAAGGCGACTGGGGATTAGGGGACTCAGTCAACAAATCCTAGTGGTGAAGAATCATCATCCACCATCTTTTTAGTTGGGGAGCCACTGTAGAATCATTAGGAAATTGAATAGTATTTCACTTCAAAATTCCTAATTGTCATTAGGAATTTTGAAGTAGGAAATAAGTGAAAAATGCGCAGTGCCTCGCCGGGACTCGAACCTGGACCTCTCGAATACGCGCCGAGTGTGCTAACAGTTGCACCATGAAGGCATGCTGAAAGGAAGGAGAAAATACCTTATAGATTTTATGAAAAATTACTGTATTTCACAGCTCGTGTTCTAATAGTTAAGTGATTAACACGCTCAGCTAACTGGAAGATTCGTATTTCGGATCCCGGCGAGGACACAGTTGATTTTTCACGTTTCTTGGAATTGAAAAACATTACAGTCTCGTAGTTCGTATTCAGACGCCCGAAGTACAACACGAAGGCATGTCGAGAGGAGGGAGAATATACCTTATATGGTTTCGGAGATTTCCTGCATATAATATTAAAGACATGTGAATAGTATTAAGATAAAAGCAGTAAACTGAACGTAGAAATTTAGATTTAATATCGTATGTATGTTGCTTAAACTAAAATATAACTTATCAGTTATGCTTCGAAGGTAATTAATTAAAACAATATTTGGTTCTTTACTTTATTATACTTATCAAAAGCTACGGAATAATTTTTTTATGTTATTATCAAAAGGTAATTGTCTAAAATTCCTTCTCAGCTCTCTTAACAATAGAATGATATCTTAATGATAAGAAATGCATATATTTTTTTTCAAAAGCCACAAAATTATTTTCATAGAATATACAAGGTTAAAAGCAAAATAACACAGTATACAAACACGTAATTTCCAAATAGGTTGGATTTTATAGTAAAATTTCCAAATCACATGCATTGATAATAACGAAAATAATAAATTATATAAATACTAGCGGAAGTACCCGATGATTGCGAGTAATGTATCTAATAACAGAGAGGTCAATACCGCTGTAATTATTCTCTAATAACGATGCAAAAAATAAGATTCATACTCATACATTTTTCAGTCTGATGCGATAAGGAACGCACATAAAAAATTTCGATAGAAAATAAACTAACTCTCTCTCATTATATCAGCAAGAATGGCACGCAGTTTTTAATGATATTCCTCTTTCTAATCAAATGATCCTAAAAGCACCAGTTCCATCCAATATTTCACCTATATTCAATTTGTGTCGATTAAACGTTGCGAAAAATAGATCATAATTCATCAAAAATTCAAATGCAAACAAATAAACAAACACACATTTTTCTTTATATATAGAGATTTTGTAAAACTTACGAATTTTTGATTGACAAACTCTACGATTTGAAAGCGAGCAGTGGCAACACTTCTCGAAATAAAGCAGATTTATATCTCCGGCGCGTGAAACTGTTGCCACTCGGAAAAATGAGTGTGAAAATGAGTGTTTTCGGAGTTTTTGATTAATATATCGGCTGATTAAAGTCGTACGAAGATGGGAACAGTCGAAATGGCTTCCCACGAATTTTTGGAATGGGAAATAATATATTTAATGTTTGGCAATGCTATTTTTATTTCATTGTAAAACTCAGAAATTTTTGATTAACAAACTCTAGGATTTGAAAGCGAGCAGTGGCAACACTTCTCGAAATAAAGCAGATTTATATCTCCGGCGCGCGAAACTGTTGCCACTCGGAAAAATGAGTGTGAAAATGAGTGTTTTAGGAGTTTTTAATTAATATATCGGCTGATTAAAGTCATACGAAGATGGGAACAGTTTTTTATTTCACTGTAAAACTCAGAAATTTTTGATTAACAAACTCTAGGATTTGAAAGCGAGCAGTGGCAACACTTCTCGAAATAAAGCAGATTTTTTGTCCAACCTACGAGACTATTGCCTCTCGGAAAAATGAGGACAAAAATGAGCCTTTTCAGAATTTTTAATTAATATTTCTGAGTTGAGCTTTTATTTATTTATTTTTTCTTTTTTAAAGTAGACGTTGACCTTTTCTAGCACCTAAAAAAGAATTGGAAAAAATTTGGTGACAATAGCTATACAATAGCTATAGTAGTGATTGAGTTAATCGCGAACAAACACACATACATTCTTCTTTATATATATAGATTATATAATTCTTCCTGTTAGCTTCATGGTACATTTCAGATAAAGGAAGTAAAAATACTATATGATTCTCTCTTAGAAAATTAAAACTTAAGAAGGCAAATAAAGCAATAAGAGCTCAAATAAATAACGAAAAGCTTAAAGGAAAATGCAAATTGAAAACTATCCTTTATGACAATTTCGTTGATGATAATTTCCCAGTTACATGTTATACAGACGACAGTAAAATTATTAATCGAATTAGGTTAGCTTATGTCTTTTTCAATCATGGTTCTGAATTGGAATACAAACTCTTGAGAATTCCGAATGAATGCAGTGTTTTCCAAGCCGAATTACTGTGCATTAATGAGTCAATTAAGTGGATATCTAAAAGCTCTTCGCTAAGTGCCAAATTTCTTATTTGCACGGATTCTCTTTCATCCTTATATTATTTTATGAATATCTTCTCATGTAATAAGTAAATTGTCGATTCTCATGCCATTCTTAAAGACCTCAATAAATAAAGGTGTTGACGTCATCTTTTCTCATGTACGTGGCCACACTGGCATTCTAAGAAATGAAAGGGCTGTTTGGTTGGCAAGACAAGCTACAAACCTTCAAGTTAATATTGCAATGATACTGCCTAAGTCATTCTTCAAGAAAAAAAGTAGGGATGAAACAAAACTCAAGTCGAATGAACTACACAAAAACTGCTGCCTCTTTGGCTAAATTATTTTTTCCTTCCATTCCTCACAGACTGAAGAATAAACACTTTGCTGCAATTTTGAAATTACTAACTTTCTAACTGAACATGGTAATTTAATTTATCTAGTGTCAGAAGATATGCGTGTTATTTAATACAGACTTGCGTTTCTGCAGCTACGGAGGAGTACCAAATGTAGAACATTTGTTATTCTAAAATTAAGACACAATAACACGCCGAATAAATACTAATTCAGAAGTCAAACAACAAAAATCAGCGTTATATTTAAATCAGCTGCAAAACCGCAAAATGCGGTTTTGCAGCTGAAGATGATGGTTCGGAAAACCATCGAAACTAGTCCTGTGAAAATTTTTTAAATATAACGCTGATTTTTGTTGTTTGACTTCTGAATTAGTATTTGTTATTCTATTGTTCAAAGCACACGGAAGGACGAAAAGAACTAATTTCTAAGTTAAAACTCTGTGAACATTACATTCCCTCCTCTTCATGTATTTGTTGAAGATAAAATGCCATTATCTTTCTTCTGCTTATTTATCTCTTACGTCTCGTCTGCAAATTTGTAAGTTTATTTTTATTTTGTGTTATGTTGGTGTATTTTTTGTTTTTTACTTACCTCTGTAAACCTTCTGTAACAGTATGCGGTTCACAAGGAGTTTAAATATTCAATTAAAACAAAATAGCCCAAATCAAACAAGATCACCATATAATTACATCAATAAGCTAATTAAAAATCAGAAAATTATTTACTTATAAATAATCAAAGCTCAGAGTCAAGATAAGAGTGCAACATAATGTTGTGAGCCCAGAAGGGCTATTAATTTCGTTTTGGCATTTTGAGTCGAAAATTTTAAATGTCCGTTTCACTTTTCAGATTGTTTCCACCCAATATTATCGCCCTGTGTTATATTTAAAGAAATTAAATATTAAGAATCTGCATAATTCTCGCATTGCGATAAAACCACGATACCTAGAGCCATCCAGTTTTGAATAACTCAATCCCCCCACGAATATGGGCATCTGGAAGCCCAAATTTGGAATTTGTTTTATTATCGATTTCATACATTGGAAAGCATTTATGAGGTTTTGACTAAGAAACTCAACGATTTCATAGCGACACTGTACGGAAAAAAAAAAAAAAAAAAAAAAAAAAAAAAAAAAAAAAAAAAAAAAAAAAACTAACATTTTTATCTCCAGCGTGTGAGACTGTGTACCGAAAATTCTAAAGATATGCTCTTTTTGAATATTTTGCGAAATTTCTGTTGAATTGAATTTTATGGCTTAGGTGCGAAGAACATGATATTTAATAAATAAAGGTAACACACAAAACGTTAAGAAACGCCCTTTTGGGCGTAATATAAAATTAGAAAGCTTACAGAATTTTTTCTATTTTCTTTTAACTTTTTTAATCTTCAGTTTAGATAATAAGATTTAAAAATTCCAGGAAAATGTTATCTCTGAACGAATGTATTGGACCATAATCATTACACATAAAAGGATAAATAAAAAGTTAAAATAGACTGTATCTTTAATCAATTGATTTCTTTAGATGCTTCTCTTGATGACGTAATAGGTGTATCTAATGCTTCTCCAGATGACGTAATAGGTGTAGTTTAAATCAGGAACACTTACAAGGTGTATACCGA